GTAATTCACCGCAGGAATTAAAAATATACTCAACATTATTTTAATTATTCTCTTTCAAAGAGAAATATAATTTTTTATTTTATTTTTAAAAAACTGGTGCAGATAGTTTCGAAAACTGGATTACCAGATTTAACGTTTGATTAATTTGATTAATTTTTTGTCAGTTTTGCAACACAGAAATAATTATTTTACATCTGCTATAAATTTTGTTTCCATGTCATCTGAACAAAGGATTGGAAATTACATTTTGAATATTATTCCTTATATATATATATATATATATATATATATATAACGCATTTCTGTTATTGATGAAAAATACATCGTAAAAAAAGATAAGATTATGTTATTAATAGTTTCGCACTTGCAGCTTTCGAATCTCAAACAAACTTGTAGTAAGGAAACATAAAAAGAATTTTAGAATACTGTTGGTCATTTCTTTCATTTTTCAATAAGCATAAAATATAAAATTTAATTTTTTTCAACAAACATAAAGTACAAATTAACATAACCATAGCTGCGTACACACGGTTAACTCGTGAACAGATGATTCACTTTTAAAGCTAAATTGTCAGTTAGTACGATTCAAAGTCGGAGAATAACTAAGAAGATAAGAAATTACTCTTTAAAATGCTGTAAGTTTGTTACTCCGTCTTTCATTTACGCGCAAGTTCATCACAGCCCTTCGATTCGTTTATACATAAGAAGCTACCTTCTCAAGCAGAAACGAATCGAAGGGCTGAGATGAAATGTTTTCAGTTCACATTACACGATAATAAACAAAAAATAAAAATAAGAAGGAAACGAAATGTATTCTGCGTTTCACAATATGTTTTCCCACAAACAGACGTTTTTTCTGGAGTATAAATTAGCAGTGCAGTAAAACAGTCAACGCTCCTTATAACGAAAAATAGCGACTGCTGTTTTATACAGCGGTCACTGCAAAACGTCCCTAGTTGCTGAAAGCAAATTAATCAGCATTTATAATAACATACACTCGATATTAAGTTTTCTTGCTTAAGAAACGAAGGATTATTATAATAAGCCTCAAAACAACAACAACAATAATAATAATAAATCTGAAAGCTTTTAGATTACTCTCAAAGGGCCATTTTTTAACGTTTTGTACGTTACCTTTATTTATTAAATATCATGTTCTTCGCACTTAAACCATAAAATCCAATCCAACAGCAATATCACAAAATATTTAGAAAGAGCGTATCTTTGGAATTACCGATACACAGTTTCGCGCGCTGGAGACAAAAATGTTTCTTTCTTCGTGCAGTGTTGTCATTGCTCGCTTTGAAATCGCTCAGCTTATTAATCAAAATTTAATAAAATAGGTAATAAACAAATTCCAAATTCCAAACTGGGCTTCCAGATGCACCTATTCGAGTGGAGGACAGCGTTATTCAAAATTTGATGTCTCTATGTGCCACTGTTTTTACATAATGCGAGAAACATACATACATACATACATGCAGATTGTTCATAGTTAAATTTCTTCAAATATAATGCAGGTGTCTAATATTTAGTGGCAACTATTTTAAAAGTGAAACGTCGTTTTATAGTGGACGACGCGAAATACCAAAACGAAACTGAGCTTTTAGTAGGTTATATAGACATCTTAGATAGCCATGGTGGATATAATAATAAGCGAAATTTTATAGTGTTTCCTAAATTCATAAGCCCTTTTATATACTTACACAAACTCTCATGCTGGTAATTTGTCATGAATCCTAAGACTCGATCTTTATTCTTGTCAGACTTCGATAATTTTAATCTTATATTTCCTGCAATCTTGCAGTGTTACGGGAATCCTCTTCTCACGTGCAACGGACTTTCTGTAAATATTATATGAACTCTTCATTTGCAAATAAGACATAATCTCGTAATGTTTATTTTTCGATCGAGGTAGGCCTAGGATTTTGATTGTAGCCTCGTTTATATTAGAAGAGACACATTCTTTCCCTAATGAAAGCATTTACATTGCAAAGAATATATCTAATTTCTAGAATATTATCAGAGGCCCGGGTACGCAGTGGCTAGAGCATAGCGCAGCAGCACCACAGGTCCGGGGTTCGATTCCCGGGGCCCACCAGCGGTCGAGCGATGAAGTCGCTGAACACTGGTAGTTCGGTCCGAGGTTCGAATCCCGCGAACGATCTGGCTGCATGAGTCTTTTCGGAGTTTTCCCCATGTGTAACGTGTATACGAGTAGTTTCATTTAGAAAGTCCTCCACGGAGGCATCCCTCCCCTTAGGCAGATAGCTCTCGAGGCTTTGCCGTAATTAAATAACCTAACCTAACCTAACCGATTTCCAGACTGGGCAAGGTCGACTTAGCCTTTCATCCCTCGATTTCCATCACTTGGATCGATTCGCTTGGGGACTACACACTGGAGGTCTTGCGACAAGCTGACCACTTGTTCAGGGCATATGCTTACGCACCCCCGTGCCCACGGTCAAGAAAGCAGATTTTCGGGCACTGCAGTCCTTGGCCCATTAGGGCTGTTACGCCACTGAGTTTGGTTTAGTTCTATAATATTATCATATCATTAATAAATTATTATTTTGAATTTTTATTTCGTTTCAATATTTTCTGTAATTCTTTATGTTAGTGAACATGTAAAAAGCCATTGCAACTGTTCTAAATCTCTGTATAAATGAATAATAATTATTTATAAGTTACTTCATAGCTAAAATTAATTATTTTTAGCATGAACTTTTCAAGTAATAAACGAAATCAATTTACTAAGTAAAATCTGAATGAAAGTTAATTTAAGTAACTATCTATATTGGCAAATGAATAGCTAATATGCTGTAACTTATAAGATATTTTTTTAATTGAAAATTTTAAATCTTTGTGCACCACATAGTATTACACAAGACTTACAGAGGTAAGTAAAAAAACACAAATACAACAACACAAAATAAAATAAACTTACAAATTCACAGATGACACGTAAGAGATAAATTTACAGAAGAAAGAGAAAGCCATTTTATGTTGGACAAATACGTGAAGAGGGGGGAGGAAATGTAATATTCACAGAGTTTAACCTAGAAATGAGTTCCTTTCGTCCTTCCTTGAGCTTTGAACAATAGAACAACAAATGTTCGACATTTTGCACTCCCCCAAAACTGCATGAATACAAGTCTGTACTAGATAATCTAAATCTCTTCAGATATGAATTGAATTTACCATATCCAGTTAGAAATTGAGTAACTTCAAAATTTCAGAAAAAGTGTTTATTATTCAGTCTGTGAGGAATGGAAGGAAAATATAGTTTAGTCAAAGAGGCAGTAGTAGAATTCCTGTATAGTTCATTCCACTTGAGTATTGCATCATCCCTACTTTTGTTCTTGTAAGATATTAAAGTTATTTTATTTTCTTTGAAACGTCTTAATAAGTACACAACCTTGCTGAAGTTTCCTTATATAAATTTCTTTCTTTAAAATACTCTACAGCAAAGAAAAGTTGAACAATTAAGTAGCTATGGACTCGAAAATATTCTCAATTCCTATGATAATAATAACAAAAAATGGAGTCCAACTTCGATAAGGGTAAATTACAGATAATCGAAACAGTAGTTATGAAATGGAAAATATTATCAATTTTTATAATAATAACAGAAAATACAACCCAACTTCGATAAGAATAAATTATAGGTAATCGAAAAAAAGCAGCTATGAACTAGAAAATATTCTCAGTTCCTTTGATAATAACAGGAAATACAGTCCAACTTCGATAACTATAAATTATAGGTAATCGAAAACGTAGCTGTGAACTGGAAAATATTAATTCCTGTGATATTAATAAGAGAGCATACAGTCCAAACTCGATAAGTGCAAATAATAAATAACAGAAAAAAAAAGTTTTTAATCAAGGCAGGCTTTAAACATACGCGATTTAGGCAGTTATTAAGTGAGCCTATTTTCGAGAAAAATGTCAGCTAAGTTATCCTCACAAATGACAACTAAGTGTAAGTATAGTTAGTTCGCTTTAAATTATTAATGAATTTAATTTATACAGCATGCTAACTGTATTAATCGCTCAGGGCGTCGAAAATGCTGAATCCAGATTTGCTTCTAGTAAACAAAAACTCGTGTCAAAAATACTTTGAACAACTAGCGTCTGAGAAACATATTGGATTTTAAGTAAATATGATAAAAAATGTAACTAAAAAAGCAAAAGAGAACTTACTGCAAACATTAATTAGAAAATTATTTGAAAGCATAAAAAACTGTTGTAACTCAAAAGAAATCGAGGAGTTTAAGTATTTAATCGTATAAATATTTGCATTAAAAATACTGCATAAACAGAAATATTGCGTGAAAACATCAGTGTAATCAATGTAACATAAATAACAATGTAACATGTAAGTCATGTTTTGAAGACTTATCTCTCAATTTCTAGGCGACAATATATTATTGATTTAAAATATATCTACGAAATTGGAAATATAAAATAGCTTTCTTGATTCGAAATAAATATATATATTGAGTTTTCTAAAATAAATCAGAAAATTTTTAAAATCTTTTCTAAAATGCTCATCAAAGTAAGAATTCAGTTGCCTAGGCAAATAAATGATTCCGATGAGTAAAGAAATTACTTTGAAGTTAAAGATTTTGGAAATAGAAATGCAAATTATTTGAAAAAATTTAACAAATCAGTTAAAACTTTTACAAAAAAAAAAAAAAAAAAGTTATAAAGCAGGGCCTCCATGATTTGGGGGTAAAATATCTAACTTCCGATCTCGAAAAAGAAATATAAGTAGTAATAATAATAATAGTAATAATAAGGTCCTAAAAAATTAAATAATTCGATTTACTTATAAAAATTATCATAAATTTTTAATGCTTTTCATTTTCTAAAATATTCATCTCAAGTTTCGAAAAACTCGAGTTACTGAAGTTCGAGTATACAATAGTAACACTTTAATTAATGAAATAGCAGAAAAATTTAAATTGTCATTTTAGTTCAAAATCAAGTTGACTCACCATTCTTTATCTCCGAATTTCGTGCATATATTTCAAATGCCTTAAACACTTCTCTTAATTATAGTGAAAATGTCCCAAATATTAATCTCTGGCTCTGCATTGTACTCCACAGTTAATTTCAGATAAAAGGGAAAGAAAATGATTAGCCAAGACAGATATACAACTGTAAATGACATCTGCATTTTATCAGCGGCGTGCTGTCTTTCATGTCTTCTTAGCAGGTACTACGTCATCTTGTCATCCAATCCTCAAATGTAGCACAGATATAACTTAAATCATCATCTTTTTTTTTTCCTAAGTGTTTCGCAATTTTTGTTCTCATAATTTAGGAATTTATAAAAGGTTTTCAACTGCCAAAATTTAAGTATTTCAGCTTTACACCATATCGATGCCAGTTATTAAATTTCAAAATTTTTAGAAGTAAATTATTTTTTAATTTACATTTCATTCTTTTCAGCATTTTCGTAATAAAATACACAGGAAAATAACGCATTGATTGGGGGGGGGCGATTACTTTTCAGATTAATGTCACATGACAGAACTTAGGTTACGGAGTAGGCACAAAAATAATGTTTATCACAGAATCTGGCAATCACTTCTTATATATGAAACTGGTGTCCACCTGAAGCATTGCTAATAAAAACGCTGACGAAGAAACAACGCTAGGAGAAAACATCGGTCAAAAAATATCGTGGTAGGAAAAAAGAAAGGAACATCGTGGTACATATTATCGTAGAACATTGAAATTTTAAAACATCGTGGTACACACTTTTGAGCAGCTACTCAAAGAATGAATTCCAGAATCTTTCTCTGTACCTTCTAAGTAGCGGCTCCGTAGCTTCATAGATAAAATGCATATCGCCGAATTTCGTGTTCATTTAGAGATGCATACCATTCGAAAGCCACACGGGGAATGATGATTTTCGGCAGCAAAACGCTTTTATCTATAGTTCAATAAAGACATGTATCTCTTGAAAGCGCTATTTCAGCACACAAATTCTATCCAAATCTGCTTATTTCAGTCCCCTTTCTCTGCCCTTTACCGGGTATTATTGAATCATAACTTTAATTGTGTGTAATATAGTGTAATATTTGTGTGTGTATATAATTTTAATTGTGTCCGCATGGGGAATGATAATTTTAGCCAGCAAAACGCTTTTATCTATAGTTCAATAAAGACCTGTACACCTTCAAAGTGCTGTTTCAGCACATAGATTCCATCGCCAAATCTGCTTATTTCATTCCCCCTCTATCTGCCCTTACATCTGTTCCGTATATTACTAAATCACTTTGCATGTGTGCATAACTTTAATTGTGTGTAAAATTTCAGGTCCTTTAATTTTAGTTTAGAAACTCTTCCTTTTCAGAGTACATTATATACCAAACACTGTTTTATTTCAACTAAAATTTAGTCTGTAAACGTTAACTGCTGATTTCTTTAAAAAACGCTATGTTAATTAAAAGTGTCTAATTGCGACATACATCTCTCTAAAGGAAAAAATATTTTATAATATTTTAAAACTCAGCAAAATCTTTCAATCCCGGTTCTGTTAGCATAATTAATAGCCACGTTAAATGCATGTTCAATTTTACTTGATTTAGTAAGCGCTTTGCTTACTACTGTGCTCTCGCTTGATAGAGTAAGAGCAACTAAATTCTTTTTTTTTATTCTCGTAAATACTTTTTTGAAATAAAATATGCAATTAAATATGAGAGACGAAAATTTTTTACCAAACCTTACTTTTGTTCTCAATTTACAACCATACGATACAAAGGACACTTTCTGCCCTTGTCAAATTCGAGTAGATAACTAGTATTATATTATCCGGAGATCATGTTCAGAAAGTTTTGGACACTTTTTACATTGTTTTCACACCTATGCATTTCAGTTAAAATTTCCTGTGGCCATACTCTTTGACCCCCAAAATTCTTTTTCTATCACCCTCGATAGCACCAGTTTCCTCAATTCTTGAATTCAAGCGTATCTGCTTGAATTATTCTTACAACTTCTTTACATGAAACATTTTACATGATAACAGAGAGTAAATCGTAAATAACAGTATTCTATATCACATTATTATGTACTGATTTATTATTATGGAATTCGATAAACATATACAATATTCTAAATTTTAAGTTATTTAATAACAACCAACCTTCTTAAAACCTTTTATAATTTTACGAAATAAATTAGGATTAAACGATGTTTATTTAACTCATTTGTTAGCAATTTACACATTATATTCATGGACCTTATAAGAAATAGACCAACCCAAATGGTTTTTCTCCCTCTTCTGACGCATTTCCGGCTGTCACTTTCATCACATCTGGAGGAGTAGGGACGACTTGCAGAAACTTACAATGGTTGGCTATTGCAGTGTGTATAATTGTCAAGAAAAAGTTGGTTATAGCGCCTCATTTCACAAATTATAATTTCTACATATTTTTATTTCTGAAATAGATCGATTTTAAAAAAATTAGCATATTTATCAAGCATAATTAATGTTCCAAATAATTATAAAGCTGTTGCATGCTTTTAGGGCTGGATATTTTTTTAGCTTTTTTTTATGCTATAAGGAAATTTGTAACTACTACTTTTAGAAAATAATATTTTAAATCTGAAGTAATAGAAAATTTGCTTTTTATTGGTATAAATAAGTAAAAAATACTAAAATATTTTAAAATGAATTTTTAAAAGTTTTGTTTAAAATTCTAAATTGTTTTGCCTTTTACTTCCTTGTACGAAGTAAAAAGAAAGTATCGTAATTGCGAAAAGTTTCAGGCAGCATATTTCAACTAAAATATCCATTTTGACCCCTATCGAATACAATTTAACGATGCTTTTGCGTGATATCTGTACGTAAGGACAGAATAAAAGACTCTTTTCCTCCAATAATATTATATATATATATATATATATATATATATATATATATATAACTGCTTTAAAATGAATTCTGAAGAGAATTTTTTGTGGCGTCTGTACGAACGTATCTCGCATAACTCAAAAACGAGTAGCCTCAGAACGTTGAAATTTTGTATATAGGACTACTATAACATGTAGATGTGCACCTCGTATTTTGGTTGCAATCGGCCGCGCCAAACGTATATAAATATATTTATATATATATCCACTCTGTTACCCAGCTCAGTGATCTCTTCTTTACTCTTATATGTTTGTAAATTTTACATTTTTTGCTTTAAAAACGATTGAATTATGTTGTTCTTATCTTCCGGTTAAGGTTTTTATGCCTTTAGTAAATCTGTATGCAATATTTTTAGAATTAGCAACAATTTTAAAATTGTTTAAGTGCCGCTAAGCCTAATAATTTTTTTGATGGTGGCTATTGCTTGTTTACATTTGAAACAACAGAATAGTGGATTTGTTGCCAATCTAGAGAAACGCAGCTTCGCAACAACAAAAATAACGCCTTCATTTATTATTGCGAATTAAATCATGCTTAATCCTTTCTGGAATTTTTTTCGAGGAAATAAGTGTTTAAGATTTACTTCGTAATTTTTAATACAGATATTTTGAGTTTTTATGTATTTTTGCCTTTTCGCGAAGTGAAAACTGAATTAATTGAATGAGAAATACTCAATCGTCTGTGAAAAAACTGTTTCTTTTTTGTTTTGTTTGCTTAATTTCTTTTATACATCTTTCTAGCTTTATTATAGTATTTGAATAGAACATGTAGCAACGATTAGATAATTCTTTAAATGATATAAATTTTGTGCGTTCTGTGTTATAATATGAACGAAATATAATACTGTTAAGTGAACCTAGCTCCAGAGTGTCGCTATGGTAAACAAATAGAGTGAATTTTAAAGTTTTTGTTGTGGTTTATGCGCTGTCGGGGAAGTAGATTTAATTCAACCCAATAAGTTTAAACGAAACGCAAGAAAAAATGCGTATAATTTAACATACCGTACAAGGAAGTCATGTGGTGAACACATCAGATTTTTTTAAATTATAGATAAGTATTGTAGCATAATTTCTATAAAGGAATTTTATTTCAATTATATTTCATAATAAATACATCATAGTCATAAACACTTTTGACTCCTTAATAACTTTTATACATTTAATTCTAATATTAAAATTGTATTTAACCGTAATAATTAATTTTGTATTTTATAGTGATTATTTTTTTAATTTATTTTCAGTTCTTCGTAAGATTTTTTTTTTATTTACTGTTAATTTAATTTATTAGCCCGAAGGGGCGGTAGCCTAGAAAGGCTGTTAGTTCCAAAGCGGCATTTTGCGCTGTTTCACTTTAAATGTCCGTGTCTCCTTGCAAATTGTTGTTACCAAATATTATCGCCCTGTATTATATTTAAAGAAATTAAATAATGAAGAATCTGCATGAATACATGCATGTTTCTCGCACTGTGACAAAAACGACGGTATCTAGAGCTTTCAGATTTTGAATAACGTAATCCTCCACCCGAACGTGAGCATCTGGACGGTCGAATTTCGAATTTGTTTTCATCTACTTCATAATTTGTAAAACTTTAACGAATTTTTGATTAAGAAATTCAACGAGTTCAAAGCGAGCAATGGTAACGCTGTACGGAAAATAACATTTTTATCTCCAGCGCGGAAATTCTAAAGATATGCTGTTTTCAAATATTTTGTGATATTGCTGTTGAATTTAATTTTATGTGGTTTACGGGCGAAGAACATGATATTTAATAAATATAGGTAAAACACAAAACGTTAAAAAACGTCCCTTTTAGGCGTAATATAAAATCTGAGTGCTTCTAGATTTTATTTTATCTTTTTTCATTCCTTCATTACACTCAGAAAATTTTATGCTCCGAATTTTATGAATTATTAAAATATATAATCCACTTTAATGTTAATAATTTAATGATCATATAAACAAATAAATGATCGTTTTGTAATGTTATTATAGTTTGGATAATCACTGCCTAAAAATGTTCATTAAATTTTAAAAAAAAATTATCAGATCTTGTTTAATTTTACCTTAGCATCACGTACTATCAATCTTATTTAATTTTACTTTATTTGTACGCAAAATTAAGTTTATAAAATTTGTGCTTAGAGTTTTTACCGTTTTACCAAAGTAAAGATGTTTGTACAAGAAATTACGCGTGAAAAAAAAACTGCGCGAAATCGCAGTAAAAAGTGCTTTAATGAG